GTCGCCAAGTCCTTGCAAGCTTGCATACGCCGTTAGCATCTCTGCGTAATACGAAGGCTTGGGCACTGGTGTGACGTTGCCGGTCTGGACCAAGGCGCGTTGGATAACCATAAACTCTGCACGAAGCTTTCGCAGCTTGTTCTTAATCGAGTCGGCGTCAACCTATACATCGATTTTAATGCAACATTCATAAATACTAGTAGTTTACATTGATGATTTGGTTCGTTGCGATGTTGAACTGCACGGTCAATCTTTCCCAGAGCAAGCTGAGTTGCTTTGCCGATCTGCTGCCATTGAACGCGTTGCGGTACGCATTGAAGCGAAGCTCTAGCAACGCGACCACCATAGAGTCCGTGTACTCGACAGGGGTGCGCTTCCTATGAGCGAGGTTGTCTACTTCATTGCCCATCCCTGAAGATGATCCGGCCACGCGATGCTCGAGTGCTTGGATGTGTGCAAGAAGCTCGGCCTTGGTCGAGTTCTTCTTGGTCATTTGGTTGACTTTTGTTGCCACCACTAAATGTGGATTCAGTGGTGGTGTTACTGGACGTGATTTGGTGTGGAATGGTTGGCTTATAATATTAGCCAATTAGATCATTAGCTATGGTTGTGTCGCAACCTCGAACGAGATGAAAAAAAATCGCCACCCCATTTGTACCCCGTCTGAGATTTTACTCGGAACAGGCTCTTATTGACTTGGATTTTCTTAACTGTATTTGCGATTTAATCATCACCTTTTTCAAAGTGATGAATGTTTTAGATACTGTGTCTACTGGTACGGAAATAACTGCCAAGTGGTACTGCGCAGAATCTTGGAATATTAATATGCAAACGCCATCACTTGAAATGTGGATAATTTCACACATTCTAGCCAATGGGTGACTGTTTTCACCACGACGGCACACATGATGTAATGTCAAGTTTGTATCAGCAAATAATAGAAAATGGCAAGTATTCTGTATCACGACCAGTCGTTTGTTCATAATATCGAACACGAACAAGAAATTAATTGTAAGTGATGTATACTCGCCGCAGTTACCAAATGCTCAACGATTGACTGTTTAATGTAGATTATAGAACGTTATACGTAAGCTTACTGTTAACTCAAACAATCGTGACAATCGCATCAATAGAATCTGCGCGAGAAGTCGGCAAAGGGTCAATCAGTGTATACTGGTACTTACAAAATTATACTATTAATAGTAAGCTTATTGACAGTAGTCGACAGCCGCGAGGATGCCTTTGGCAAGAACTTTAGCTACAAAAACGCAATAAAGAAATGTTGA